AAAACCACTAAATCGACTACTTGGACCAAAATGGCCGACTTCCTGTGCGACTTTGCACTTGGCTCCAAGAGACTTTTTTGTAGGACCGGAGACACCACATTAGTGTACCAGATTTCGTACTCCTCAGTCAAAGCATGGCTAGGGGCTGACAGTTTTAATGGTCCTAGAGGGCGCCATTTCAGAAAATAGGCCACGCCCACAAACTACAGCTGTCCAAATCTATTGGGGGTCAGACTAGGAACACTCACCAGACATTTTGTGGTGATGGCACGATAATTGAAGAAATGAGAGGCAAACGTATTGCCATGGCGTGATGGTGAATTTTGCCATGCTCCCAAAGCCCCGCCTTTTTTCAAAACCTGCCAGTACTGGAGACTAAGTGACCTCAACTTGTCAGCTGCTATTCGCCAGAGATTGCTGGCGATTGGGTAAAAGGAGTCCAATAGGTAGCTGTGAAAAAAAGAGTGGCGTGGTGACAGGTCAAAGTTTGAGGCTTAGCCACGCCCACACCTTTATACTTATTTAAAATCCGACGGTTGAATTTTTTCCTTTATGTCTTAAGAGTCTATAGCAGAAGTTTGAAGGCGATTGGTGAAAAGGGCGATGGAGCATCACTCTCCAAACAACGTGTGCGAAAACCACTAAATCGAGTACTTGGACCAAAATGGCCGACTTCCTGTGCGACTTTGCACTTGGCTCCAAGAGACTTTTTTGTAGGTCCTGAGACACCACATTAGTGTGCCAAATTTCATAATGCTCAGTCAAAGCATGACTTGGGGCTGACAGTTTTAATGGTCCTAGGGGGCGCTATTTCAGAAAATAGGCCACGCCCACCGGATGTTCACATCACATTTTGTGGGGGGCTGAACTAGGATCACTCCCAAGAGGTTTTGTGGCGATATCTCTAGAAATGACGAAATGGGAGGCAAACGTAAGGCCTAAGCGGTACGCCTGACTTCGCCGCGCCGCCACAGCCCCGCCTTCTGGAGAAAACTCCCATAAAGTGACGCCAAGCAACCCCAACTTGTCTTCAGTTACCCGCTACAAATTTGGGGTGATTATTGGAAAGGGCGAATTTTGGAAAATTTCCCAGTAAATCTTGACCTTTTAAGTCCTGAGGGGGCGGGGCTTATGTGACATCATCAATCGACCATTCATTTGTCTTCGGAGGGCGACGACGATTGTCCTTAGAACATTTCTTTAACTGTAATTCTTTCATTTATGAATCTATAGCAATTTGAATTTTTTTGGCGAGTGCTCGAACTTTGAGGCCTGGTTCCGCCCCTTCAGTATTTACGAAAAGTCAATTTTATTGACTCATTTTAATCGTCCATCGCTTCTGTTCGATCGCACACTATTTTTGAGACGATCGTGCGAAAAATGACCAAACCGTTAAACCAAATATAGACCCTAGAAATGGCCAAAACGGGTTCAAAATGGCCACTTTAGTCCAAAATGGCCGACTTCCTGTTTGATATTGACCATGGGTGCAAGAGGCTTTTCTGTGCGTATTGTTGAGTTCTACAAGTGTACCAAATTTCATCACTCTACTATGAAAAAAGGTCAAAGCGGAGGGGTATTTTTAATTTTCCAGGGGGCGCTGTTGACACATTTTTTTACCAACTTTCACGTTGCCAGTGAAATACGTAAATTTCACGCACTTTCTATATTGGGCCAGAATTTGGTGACTTTTTGGATATGCTAAGACCCCCTAAAGGCCATCCAAAGACGCGGAAGAAAAAAAAAGAAAGAAAGAAAAAAAAAAAAATAATAATAAACGGAGCAGATACAATAGGCCTTCGCAGCTTCACTGCTCGGGCCTAATAAACGGAGCAGATACAATAGGCCTTCGCAGCGCTTCGCTGCTCGGGCCTAATAATAAACGGAGCAGATACAATAGGCCTTCGCAGCTTCACTGCTCGGGCCTAATTAAAGCTGCAAGCAGCGTCGTTCGGCCCTCGCAGCGAAGCTGCTCGTCCTCCGTCCGCACCCCCTCCGCTCCATCCCAGACGCTCTCCAAACCCAGCTCCGCGCTTCTCCATCCTGGCCGGCAGCCGGGGGCACCAGGTCACGTCTGGCAGAACAGAAAGTCAACCACCCCGACACCAGAAACCGTGAACGGCCTCCTCGTCCACACCTCACCCTGACTCAGCATCCCCTCTGAGACCACCATTACACGTCTCACCACTAGGAGACACTCTATCTTTACCACACTGGTGATGTGATGTTCAGTCTCGGGCAAATCGCAGGCTGTTTGTGGAAGTTACAGTCAAACGTAAGGTCACAGTGTCACGCCAGAAATCGCCATGGCATCAAAGCCCCCCCTTTCTGAAAAGCTATCAGATCTGAATGGTCATTACAACATCATGAAGACAGTGCATTACCTTAGTGTCATGTTGACTAAATTAGAGGGGACAAATATGGGCATTTCACCATAAAACAGTAGACTTCCTGTAGTCAGGGGGCGGGGCTTAGGTGATGTCAGCTGTCCACATTGTCACTGTCTTCAGATGTGGTCAGTGATCACACAGACAAAGTTTGAAATTGATCTGATCATGCACATGGGAGTTATTGAGTCAAGTAACGTAATGGCGACTGGTCAAAGTTTGAGGCTTAGCCACGCCCACACCTTTATACTTATTTAAAATCCGACGGTTGAATTTTTCCCTCTATGTCTTAAGAGTATATAGCAGGAGTTTGAAGGTGATCGGTGGAAAGGATGACGAGACATCATTCTCCTAATTACGTGTGCGAAAACCACTAAATCAAGTACTTGGACCAAAATGGCCGACCTCCTGTGCGACATTGCGCTTGGCTCCAAGAGACTTTTTTGTAGGTCCTGAGACACTACATTAGTGTGCCAAATTTCGTGATCCTCACTCAAAGCCTGGCTTGGGGCTGATAGTTTTAATGGTCCTAGGGGGCGCTATTTCAGAAAATAGGCCACGCCCACAAACTTCAGCTGTCCAATTCTATTAGGTGTCAGAGTAAGATCACTCATCAGAAATTGTGTGGCGATGTCACAATGGTTGAAGAAATGAGACACAAACGTATTTCCATGGCGTGATGGCGAATTTCGCCATGCTCCCAAAGCCCCGCCTTTATTCGAAACCTGCCAGTACTACAGACCAAGTGACCTCAACTTGTCTGCTGCTATTTGCCAGTGATTGCTGGTGATTGGTTAAAAGGAGTCCAATAGGGAGCTGTGAAAAAAAGAGTGGCGTGGCGACAAGTCAAAGTTTGAGGCTTAGCCACGCCCACACCTTAATACTTATTTAAAATCAGATGGTTGAATTTTTTTCTTCTATGTCTTAAGAGTGTATAGCAGGAGTTTGAAGGTGATCGGTGGAAAGGACGATGAGACATCATTCTCCAAACAACGTGTGCGAAAACCACTAAATCGAGTACTTGGACCAAAATGGCCGACTTCCTGTGCGACTATGCACTTGGCTCCAAGAGACTTTTTTGTAGGTCCTGAGACACTACATTAGTGTGCCAAATTTCGTGATCCTCAGTCAAAGCATGGCTTGGGGCTGACAGTTTTAATGGTCCTAGGGGGCGCTATTTCAGAAAATAGGCCACGCCCACCGGATGATCACATCAGATTCTTTTCGGGGCCGGACTAGGATCACTCCCAAGAAGTGTCGTGGCGATATCTCCAGAAATGACGAAATGGAAGGCAAACGTAAGGCCACGTCGGTACGCCTGACTTCGCTGCGCCGCCACAGCCCCGCCTTCTGCAGAAAACTCCCATAAAGTGACGCGAAGCAACCCCAACTTGTCTTCAGTTATCTGCTACAAGTTTGGGATGATTATTTGAAAGGGCGAATTTTTGAAAATTTCCCAGTAAAACTTGACCTTTTAAGTCCTGAGGGGGCGGGGCTTATGTGACATCATCAATCGACCATTCATTTGTCTTCGGGGGGCGATGACGATTGTCCATAGAAAGTTACTTTAACTGTAATTCTTTCATTTATGAAATTATAGCAATTTGAATTTTTTTGGCGAGTGCTCGAACTTTGATCCCTGGTCCCGCCCCTTCAGTATTTACGAAAAGTCAATTTTATTTTCTCATTTGAATTGTCCATCGCTTCTGTTCGATTGCACACTGTTTTTGAGACGATCGTGCGAAAAATGACCAAACTGTTCAACCAAATATAGACCCTAGAAATTGCCAAAACGGGGTCAAAATGGCCACTTTAGTCCAAAATGGCCGACTTCCTGTTTGATATTGACCATGGGTGCAAGAGGCTTTTCTGTGCGTATTGTTGAGTTCTATAAGTGTACCAAATTTCATAACTCTACTATGAAAAAAGGTCAAAGCAGAGGGGTATTTTTAATTTTCCAGGGGGCGCTGTCGAAACATTTTTTTACCAACTTTCACGTTGCCAGTGAAATACGTAAATTTCACGCACTTTCTATATTGGGCCAGAATTTGGTGAGTTTTTGGATATGCTAAGACCCCCTAAAGGCCACCCAAAGACGCGGAAGAAAAAGAAAGAAATAATCAGAAACGGAGCAGATACAATAGGCCTTCGCAGCTTCACTGCTCGGGCCTAAAAATACTATTAATATTAGGATAAAAGTGATTTAAGATTAGAATGTTTAACTTTTTTTTATCAGTTTCATTTTCTTTTTGTTTTGAAGTTTGTATTTTTTTACCCAATTAAACAGTTTGCATTTGTGTGAAATATGAACACTAAAATGTGCTTCACCAAGTGGACAAACTGCCACTAAACGGTTAAAAAAAATCCTTAATTAGATAAAACATATCCCAGAACCAGCAGCTTTAAGTATTGTTACTGAAAACCATGGCAATCGATTTTTTTTATTCAATCCTTCTCAATGCCAAGTCAAATTATACCTAGAAAAAAAACCTAAAATGTTAATCTGCAGTTCCAGGAATAGAAAAATGGAATTTTAAAAAAGTCCTCTAGAGTGACATACTTGAATGTACCGAAACATTGAATATGATATAATATTATAATGTATATTTTTAGTTGATCAGAGACCTTGGACCCCTGGAGTGGATCTTCAACACTCCCAAACATCACAGAGTTCATCACGGTAAGGAATTTTTATTTCATTGCCCTATGACAAACAAATGATAAAACTGTAATGTTTATAATCGCCCTGACATTATTATAAGTTCATTATCTGCAGTAATCTATTGTTGTCTCAAAAGGGAGGAACATTTACTGCCTTGACAAGAATTACGGGGGAATTCTCATTATTTGGGACAGAATATTTGGTAAGCAAGAAATTTTAAATCCGAATGTTCTACACACCTGACCTGTTAATACCATAGTCAACCAATTCTGATTTATTTCAACTAATCATAACTAACACAATCCATTTTTGACTCTGATTGACTCGTTTGCTCCCATTGACAACTAAAGTTGTCGTTAGCATATTTTACTGGGCAAGCGTCGGAACGAGCCCCCGCATCGTGGGTGTTTCTCTATGTCAAGGTGCCTGGCCTCGCGAGGCGATGTCTTGCGAGGCCAGGCACCTTGCTAACGAGGACACTGTCCTTCCTTGGTCAAAGAAAACGGTTTAATGGATCAGACTTGCATCACGTAATGTAACGTCATGTGACACGGGAGATAACGTTATATTTTATCCATATAAGTTTCAATATAAATATACTATGAGCCTTTTACTTTTAAATTGTGTATATATTTGTTAAATTAAATATATAAGCGAGTTACAGTTACTACCCGCTAGCCACCGAATCTGCAACTAATAAGCAACTAACCAACCATAGATAACTTCTTTGGATCAAAAAAATAAATAAACATTTTAAATGAGTTGTCTTACTTTAAACTTGAAATTGGCCCCCGAAGTTGCTGCCGGCTTCTGATCCGCCATTCTTTTGAAAATACTGCGGCGTATTCTGAGTAATTTTTGACCAAGGCTAGGCTACAAGACACCTCTCGTGTATCTTTGCTCAGCTAGCTAAATGGCTAACAAAAGGAGAACGCCATAGGTCTGTTGAGAACACACGCCTCAGTAGAACATAAACATTGAAACACGTCTTGGCTCCTGATGATGTTTTTCCTAGACAACCGGGGTGGGACCAAGGCATCAAGGTAAGGTTCCTTGGCATTGAGAAACGCCCAGAACAAACATCACAGCTCTAAAGCCGATCTTCATCTGCGTACGTCACACATCACGTGATCAGGAAGCAGGAAATCCGTGTGTTAGGATATCGTTTTGGGCCGCTGCTGTAAAAAAAAAAAGTCGCGAATCGGAAAAGCTTCTGCCGATCACAGTTCGACAACGGATTATGAAAGAACGGATAATGCTCGAAACACACGGATTCTTCCTGATGTAAGAAGTGAGTCTACTCTCTGTTTTGGTAGTTTGACTTAATTATAGAGCACAACATTCTGTGACTCTTCAAAAAACAGTAAAACACTCAAAAAATGCTGGCAGCGAGAGGCTTTTCTGATCAGGAAACGGTCAGCAGTTAGAGAGTTAATTTGAAAATGGACTAAAATTGAAGATGGGACATTACAGTTAAAAAAGTAATTTACTTTAAAAAGCATAAAAACAAAAACAAGTCAATGGCACAGTTGTAGTCCTCAGCTGCATTGAGACTGGGGTGCCACGGGACCCAATGCAAATCTTGCTGGAGTGGGCGGTCAAAAGGCCGCTGCAGGCGGCAAAAGTAGCTCACCAGTTCCACAATTGTCAGTAGGATTAAGGTAGGAGAGCACAACTGTAGTTGGTAATGAAATTAAGACTGGAGAGTATAACACCAGAGAGAAAGAGAGACGGAAAATCTGATACGTGGAAAAGCTTGTTCTTCTGAAATCAAACACCCTTTTTCTTTTTTCTTAATGATGGGTCTGCAAGTGGAGGCGGGGTCGTATGCAAATATTGCAGGAGAGTGCCGAAATGATGTATACCGATTCCAGGAGCGGATGTAGCTGTCAGAAATTCCATGGGAGCGGGAATAAAACATAGCACAGGGCTCTAGTTTGAACTTTACCAAAAACACAAATGCAGTGAGCTTTAATGAGGTGTAAAGGTGATTCCATTTCAACACTGATCCACTGAGTTCAGAAAAAGTCCAGGGAGCTTAAGAGTGAGAAGTCAGTTCAGGGTCTGCAACGCGATTAATTAGAATCGATGTTCATGTTTGTTTAGCCTGTTTGATAATGTTTGTTTTATTTTAGAGACGTATTCAACCTTGGGACTCAACTCTGATATAATCATCTTACAATAAACATCAGAAAACATCTTGGTCACATTTCTAAGTTTATAGAACTCATCCATCTATCCACCCACCCCCTTAAGCATTCGCCTAAGCCAGGGCATCGTATTCAATGCCAAGCCAGGCAGCCTGGTATATTTTAGTGGTTTCTCTGCTCCAGCACACTTGATTCAGTGTTTGAATCACCTGTGCAGCAGCACATTAGGCTCTGCAGAAGCCCGTTAATCACCTGCTGATTAAAATCAGATGTGTTAAAGCAGGGTTAAAACTAAAATGTGCAGGGTTGGGCATCGAGCATCGATTGGAACCGGGACCAACTGTTAGTTTATTCCGGAATCGTTCAAAGTTTTTTATTTCGATTCCTAGTTTCGATTCCTAGAATGCTGACTGCAAGACGAATCCGCGGCCGATCTCTGTGAAAAATAAACGTGATGTGCAAATTGTGATCAACACTTTTCAGAGCTGATCACACCAGCTGTGTGTGCAGCACCGTCCTCCTCCCCACACCTGGTGCGCAGCGGGCAAATATAAACAAACGCGGCTGCCGAACTTTTACGCCGTAATGTAAACTTTAATTCCTGCAGCGTAGAGGAAACTTGTTAAAATACGTCAACACGGTGGATTTAATAAAAGCTTTAAAGAACAACTCTGGACAGTGTGAGGTGAGTTTGTCTCACTGCAGAAATAAAAACACACACGGAGCATCAGCAGTCAGACGCAGCCGCTCACCAACACTCGTGTGTGTGTGTGTGTGTGTGTGTGTGTGTGTGTGTGTGTGTGTGTGTGTGCGCGCGTGCGTCAGAAGGCTGAACAATAACCTGTAGAATAATTAAAGTCATCATTCTAGAGCAGCTTCTCTGTGGTGGACAACACCAGCTTCTGCCACAATAAATAATAATAATATTAATAATAATAAATCACACAAAGTTGTGAACATTTAAATTTCCTTTCTGAACTATTTCTGTTGAGTCTTTTAATGTTTAAAATCTGTTAGATTGTTACTGACAGCAGCTACATTTAAGTTTCTGTTCTGACTGAATGCTGCTGCAGCATGGAGGTGTACTTCTCAGTCATCTGGACATGATCATCCTGAGAGTTTTAGCTGAAAACAGCTGGATGTTCCAGGATATGTTGGAGACATTTAGCCTCTCATCCCAGAGGCTTCTTCCAGACTTTGGTTGTGGTCAGAAACAAACACACTGGTTGTGCTGCAAGTCTTTTTCTTTTTTTTCTCCAAAACAGGTTTTTGTCTAAATGAAGGTGATGTTATTGCTCATAGAATTAAAATTCATGTTGAAGTTAAGAATATTTCATCAAATAGGACCTGTGGTTAGCTGGCTCATGTAAAACACGTCATGTCTTGAAAGAATCGGAATCGGGAATTGACAGGAACCGGAATCGAAACGATGACCTGGAATCAGAATCGGAATCGTTCAAAATCAAACAACGCCCGACCCTACTGGATACCGGCTCTCCAGGACCAGAATTGAATACCCCTGGCCTAAGCATAGAGGCCCAGACTTCCCTTTCCTCAGCCACTTGGTCCAGCTCCTTCCATGGAATGCTAAAATGTTCTCAGGCCTGACGAGAAACATTCCTTTGGGTCTCCTCTCGATTAGATGTGCCCGGAAAACATTACAAGGGAGGCGTCCAGGAGACATCCTAACCAGATGCCCGAGCCACCTCTACTGGCTCCTCTCGATGTGGAGAAGCAGCGGGTCTACTCCGAGCCCCTCCCGAGCTTCTCACCCTATCTCTATAGGAGAGCCCAGACAACCTGCGGAAATAACTCGTTCTGGCTGTTTGTATTCTTGATCTCATTCTACCCAAAGCTCGTGACCATCGATGAGGGTAGGAACGTAGATCGACCAGTACAATGCCCGCATCACTGCAGACCCAGCACCAATCAGTCTAGCGATCTCACGCTCCATTTTCCTTCACTCGTGAACAAGACCCTTAGATACGTAAACTCCTCCACTTGAGCTCTATATAAGTCTTATGACTTATTATTATTATTATTATAAATAACATATTTAGTGCACACAGCTGTCATTTAGAAGGTTCAGCTTCATTTTTTCTGTTCTAGGTACCTTTGCTGCAGAGAGGGATAAAGTGATTTATGGTCTAGTTTTCCCCATCAGGACATTTGAAATCGTCTTTGTTCAGGTGGGTTCGCCATCATTGATGAGGTTGCTGTCAGGTATCAGTCCAACGGCTCACCTCTGTCTCTTAACAAGCTCGATTTGTAGATGAAGTTTGAGCTCATGTTTCCTCCCACTGGTAGAGGGGCCTTTCTGTAACCATAACATTATTACTCCAGTCCAAACAAACTGCCCAGCCGAGGTGAAAGAGGCCAGTAGAATGAAATACCAAGTAAATGTTCTAATTACTTCTGCTGCCCTCGCCGTTGGCAGGGTGCAGCGTGAGCCATGTCCCTCCTAATGAAGGCAGAAACTCAGCCGCTCAAGATGAATTATTGCAGCTATTGCCTGTTAGCATTCATCAGTTACGTGTTGTTTGATTGCTTATTTATCTGACTTGGGTTTCTGTCTCCTTTAGCTGCACTACTATGTGTATTTGTGGAAAAGAGCCGTCACCTACAAAACTATCGGGGACAAATTGTCAACTTTCATCAACGGGCCGAGCTGGAAACCTGGCAAAGCTCGGCTTGGCGACCACGTCGACAACCCCAAGGTTTGCATCGTTTCTGAAGAAAAAAGTAAACAAGTCCATGGCTTTGGTACAAATCATTGTGACACGCAGACTAAAAACACAAACCCAGATGACTCACAACATTCCTGCTCGAAAGATTCATATATTTTTTAAGTTTTACAAGAAAGTGCCACATGAAATAAAAGCTGCAGCGCCTTAGTTGATGCGTCACAATAAATTTAGTTTTACTGTCTGTAGCCATCGTTTGCAGGAATACAACTGCATGCGGTGAATGTGTGTGTGTGTATGTGTGTGTTTGAGCTCAAATTAAAAGTTCCAGCTGAATGCTTGAGTGGTTTTCTTTGAAATAATGCTTTTAGTGTCATAGATTAGCCCTGCGAGCTAATAGAAGAAGAAAGAAAACTTCTTTTGTCTTTGCAACCACATTGCAACTTTGTAACTTCAGAGGGAATGGCTGGTCCCTTCTGGACTTAATAAGGTGGAGCTGACATGCACTATTGCAGATATTATGTGCAATGTTTGCACTGCAGTCAGCTTCCAGCACATTTTCAGGACGTTTTACATCATGAACACAGCCGATTTGTTTTATTTAGTGATGAATCACTCCTCTACACACTAAGGAAGGCCTAGGAGACAATACAGCAGTTAGATTAAGGTGTTAAAAAGACAACTGCACAGCGAGGAGATAAGTTTCACTTTTGGTTCTACTAAATGGACACTAGGGGATGCTAAAAGCAAGTCAAAACTTCCAAGTGTGCCTTTAAGGGCAAAACGGGGACTCTGCAAATGGAAAAATCTAAAAAGTTTATATAAATCTATATAAAGAAAATGTTTGCCTTTATACAAGAGACTGTTGAAAGAAAGAAACGAATGAAGTAGGATAAGAAGTGGGCTTTGCTTATCTTTTAGAGAATACACAGATCAGAGACGTCGGTGGGACGTCCAACATGTGGCTGTTTGATTGTTGAAAAGCCTGAAAAACCTTTTCAGGGTCGTTTTGAGAATTTATTTATTTATTTTTTGTTTGCGTAATGTTCACATATTTATCGTAAAGCTCTCTGGTTTAGTTGCTTATTATTTTAACCACAAAAAGATTCTAATAAGCAACTGAAGTCATGCAGAAGGACTTGAGCTTGGTTTATGGTTGATGCACGTACATTCCGCACGGAAATGAGACGCGCATCGGAACTTGCAGCGTTTGTGGCTCCTTCCTACCATCTGCAGCTTTTTCCCATTGTGAGCCAATATTCTCCCAAACTGTAGGGGGCAGCATAGGGCTCTACGGCATGCATACAACACTACACCATAGTAGAAGTAGAAATCACTGTTGTTTACAACATTTTTTCACTTTGTCCTTGAATTTTCCAACTGTGACAGTATTAACAATATTGTGATCACAGTGATCTTTACGGACCGAACCATAAAGTTGTCTGTACTTAACAAACCTCCACCACTACGAGCACTTGCCATTCTGCCATGTTTTTCCATGCAGGACCATCCGCATGGTTAGAAAATTTCCTAGGTGCGCAGTGCGGAAACTTCGGGCCATGCGGAGGCCAAGCGAATGGGCGTGGTTGCTAAAATTACTTAATTTGGTCGTGCGGACCTCATGGATGCGTCAAGCATAAACCAGCCTTTATTTATTCCTCACCGTTTTTGGAGAGCCACAACAAATCCTGAAAAAAGTAGATTTTAAAAGACAGAAGTTGAGAAGACAAATTCTACCATGTTTTCATGTTCAATCAATCTGAGTTCTGAACCAAATGCAACCTCTTCAGTGCTGCCTGACTCAGCCCAACATACAGTGCAGTAATCAAGCCGCGATAAAACAAATGCATGCAGGACAGACTCGAGATGCGTCCTAGACAACATAGGCTTGATTTTAGCCAGACGGCACAAGTGAAAAAACGCAGGTTCTCACAACCTGGTTTATGTGGCTTTCAAATTTGTTCTCCCACTGTTTTTTTTTATGTTCTCTCTAGCTCCCAGTGCTAGCTCTGGCTCTGACATGCTCATTAATTATTCTGAATTTTAAGCATTAAATTACATTTAAAAAGAAAAGTTACAAAAAAATTCACCCCCTCAGAGTTGTCATGAATGTAAACTACATCTATTAAGCCTAGAAAGTTTTTAGAATTAGGCTGTAAACATGTTTATTTCTGCTGTGAAATTGGCATTTTAACATGGGAGTAAATGGGAACTTGCTCTGTTTTGATACCAGCCCCTAACAGATGAGGTTGGAACTGCAATTTTTGTCATTTCCTATTTGGCTTCATAAAAGTCAAACCTGACGGTGATATAAAAATGAATTTATATCAGATGTAAATGCTGATAATTTGTTTAAAACAAATATGTTTAAAATGAAACATGTTTATTGTCCGTTTGCAGGTTACTGGGAAGGAAGTTCCTTATGAACCCACCTGGTCTCCGTCTTTACAAGTTTACGGAGCGCTGCATTTCCTGATGCTTCTGGGAACTTACCATGAGCTGTTCAAGACCAAACTGGTATGTAATTCTCAATGTTTTTTTTATTTTTATCTTGGGGTAAAATTGTGTTTTTTGTTGTTGTTTGAATGGGACTTGTGATTTTCGGTGGGGGAACTGATACACTTAGGTTGTAGTAAACAGCCAATACAGCAAGGTGGTCCAGGCCTCGTAGCCTCATATTTCCTGATGCTGTGTGTTTGTTTGCCAACATTATTTCACCCAATTAAGTAGTTTGTTGTGGCTTCTTTGCGGCGCGGTAGAATCCTGTACTTATCCAGCAGTAAGAGACCAGCTCCATCCAGCATCCTGACAGAATGACGGATCGGCGTCCCCTTTTAAAACAACCTTTGTCTATTATTTTCCACTCAACTAGCCAAGAGACCCCCTTCCTCCTGCTCCAGAATCAAAAAAAAAAAAAGAGAGAGAGAGAAACAGGTCTCCTCTGCAGTTATCTTTGGAAGGCTTTTCTCCCTACAGACATAGTTTTGGTTAGCCAAAAAGCTCTGTCACGCCCATCCTCTTTTAAACTCCAAAATAAAATGTCCTTTTTCCTTTCCGATCGCTACCTCCATGGGGCTCCAACACTTGTGGTCCACACAAACACACACACACACACACACACACACACACACACACACACACACACACACACACACACACACACACACACACACACACTTCTCCGCTGCGTTAAAGGTTTCCATCCCTCCTGGTGAATGAAACACCAGCTGGTGGTCCAGCAGTGAACACAAATGCCTTAATTGTCGAGTCAACCATTTCCCAACCCAAATAGCCTTCAGGATGCAGCAATCAAGACTTGGAGGGAAAATAACAAAGTGAGCTCTCTGACCGAACAATAAATCATGTCACTGTTATGTATTTATACCCACATGTTCGCTAGTCGCTTATTTAGGTTGACAATTGATGATACACTGCCCAACAGTTTATGGGCTTTGCGTTAATTCATAGTTCTGTAAACACAGTTATTTCAAAAGAAGTGGGGCCACGCCTCCTTTACATCATCATTAGGTCAACGTGCACACTTTATTACAGGGAGGCTAAAAAGATGATGCGGAGAGGAAAACTGGGCATGATGAAAGTGTTTTTTATTTTTATATTTGAGACATCCTTTGTTAGTTTAGATATAGTTTTGTTGTAAGTTAAAATTTAATGCAATACAATTTATTTCATTTTTTCTTCTAAAACATCTTGCTTGAGAAAGGCGTGTGCCCATTTTATTTATTAAAAGCTAAAAATGTTCTTAATTATAATTTTTTTAATCCTTGTGAAATTTAAAGAAATGCTGGTTTGATTCACTTTTAGCACCCCCTAGGTTTTATTATTATTATTTCCCTGTTGTAAAACTCCTCGCTGTGCGTTTGTCTTTTTAAAACCTTAATCTAACAGCTGAAATATCTCCTCAGCCTTCCTTAGTGTCTACAGAAGTGGTTCATCACTAAATCAAACAAATCAGCTGTGTTTACAATCTAAAACATGCAGGACACATGCTGGGAGCAGACTGCAGCGCCAGGCATATCAACTCCACTGTACTAAGTCCAGCAGGGACTGGTCTGGCTACTCTGAGGTTGCAAGTGCAGCATTCTGGCCATAGAGGGAGGTGGGGTCTGAGTGACATTTCATTAAGAGTTTAAAGGGTTATTTTAGCACATACTGGCTCAAGAAAATGATTTAAAAAACATGAAAAGTAGTATGGCTTTACCAAGATTTTATCAGACCAGTATTTGGACATTTCTGAAAATGTCCTACTTTTACATTACATTTCTGCGATTGATAATTATTTTTCCATTTTGTTATTTTTTTATATATCTATTTGTTTTTAAGTGTTTTTAAATATCAACTGTAGTTTTCACTTGTAAACCGTTTTTGCCACGCTGTTCTTTCTAACTGACAGAATCTGCATCAGATTTATAATCAGCAGACGGAACTGAATGGTGTTGAAGCAAAAGCTACTTAAATAAATAAAATTGAATAATAATGTCTAATATTTCATTTATAACTGTGAATGTATGATAAGAAACAGGCGTTTCTCATAATAACCTCCTACAGATTAACTCCATCACGATTCCGGCTCATGTTTACCTACTCGTGCCTGATTAAATGTCAACAGCATTTTTTTTTTTGTGTGTGACTTACAAAAAAAACATTTCACAATCAATGCACTGGTGTCTTTCTCACCAGCTGAGCCAGCTTGTCCACATGTACAGTAATCATAATATTGGCTGAAATAATGGTCTGTGTATGAGTTGATCTGCTTTGTCTCTGGAGAATAAAACGATCAGCTGTGCGGCACGGTGCTGACACCAGATGTTGGCTTTAACTTGTGGTTGCTGCTGAAATGAAGCTGGATCAAGTAGAAAATTAGCAGAAAGAAAGAACCAGCCTTTTGTTTTTGTGCTCCAAATAAAATGTAAATATGTATTTCTGCCAACGGTCAGGAATAAAAAAGTAATAAAACAGATGAGGGAACAATTGATGGCTCTTCCTAGCAGCCACAACTGCACTAATAGCCTCTAAACGCAGCTTTGTTATTGTGCTGTTTTAATAAATTGTCTTTTTGAGTTTTGTATATTTAATTCCCCCAGCTGATCTGCTGGACTCATAAATTCATGGTTTCATGTATTCCCAAATGAGAATCCAAATAAGATAAGTTTTCTGGAGTTGGACAAGCATAAAGAAACATTGTGCATCTTGTTGTTGGGCAGGTTTTATGTGCAGCACCTCCCTCAGAGTGGGAGCAGAGAGATTTTGGCTGTTAGGATCTGTATAAAGTATCAGTGAAATATGAATCCAACCCGACAGCCTGCAGCAGCCTCATGAGACTTTGTTTCTAGCTTCTGCCCTCTGCAATGGCCTTAGCACTGAGAACACACATTAGTGATGTGACTTTGTGTGTTTGTGCAAATCTATTTGTGTATGTGTCCCAAGAGGCTTGGGAAACATCAGTGGAAAGGCTACATGGATTTTCTGCTCTATAGTGTTTTGTTTCAAATGTGTATGTGTGGACCAGTGGACCTACCTAAAGCTCTGACATCTTGTGGCTGGCATCGCCAGAGGAATAGACAAACTGCCGTGAGGTTTATGGCTACTAAAGCTCTTTAAATGTATGGTTAAGGTATTTTAAATTTGGCTTCTATGGAAATGTTATCGATAGTATTTTACCTGTTGTAGATTAACCTCAGAAAGGTTGCAGTTTGAAGAAAGACAGATTAGTTCTGATCAGACTGATATGCTAACGACTAGTCTGGTTGGAAGAGTTCAAAATAATCTTTCAGTATCTTAAAAATATTAATGCAGTTCATTAAATTACTGTAATTACAAACTAGGGATGCACAATATACCAGCATCAATATCAGTGTCGGCTGATGTTTGTAATTTTTTAACATGTTGGTATTGGTCTGATAAGTAAAACTAGGCGGGTATTAACAATCGATATATATATATATCTGTTGCCATTTCTGTATCCATTTCACAGGGTGAGTGGGATGATAATGTGTAATTGTTTAGTCGTGAGACAGACAGACAGACAGATAGATAGATGAAGAAATAAATTAAATGTTTCCATGCAAATGCTCAATAAAAAACCTATTCACCACACTTTTGTATAATGATTCAATATCTGAACATGAAATATTGTGATATTTCAGTGTATCATTATTTTCTTACATCTCTACTCATATTAATGTAATATCTGTAAATATCGGATATAGCAGCAGTATCAATATCAAATATTGACATCAGACTACACTTCCACATTGGTGCATTCTTGATTAAATCGGATTGTTCTGATATTTGCTGGAGAAATGACCTGCTGAGGTATTAGTGAAACGTTTGCCAGATTATTCATGAAATGTGAAATTTATGGCATCATGAAGGTTTTAAAATCATCCGTCCATCCTTTTTGGCTGCCTATTCAGGGTCAGGTCACGGGGCAGTAGCCTAAGCAAGGAGGCCAAGACTTCTCTCTCCCCAATCACTTGGGCCAGCTCCTTCAGGGGAATCCTTAGGTGTTTCCTGGCCAGCTGTGAGACATAGTCCTTCCAGCATGTCCTGGGTCTTCTTTTAGGTCTTCTCCCAGTTGGACATGCCCGTAAAACCTCACTGGGAAGGCGACCTGCAGGCTTCCTAACTAGATGTCCGAGCCACCTCAACTGGCTCCTCTCGTTGTGGAGCGTTACTCTGAGCCCCTCCCGGATGGCCGAGCTTCTCACCCTATCTCTTAAGAGAGAGTCCAGCCTCCCTGCGTAGAAAACTAATTTCAGCTTGTATCCGCAATCTCATTCTTTCAGTCACTACCCAAAGCTTGTGACCATAGGTGAGGGTTGGAGCATCCCTGTGCTTATTCCGACTTTAAATGTATATTTACATTCCTGAAAAACATCTGCTTAAATGTCTTAAAACATTTTTGTGAACTGAGATTTGTTTAATTACTTGCATTATATATAATTCTTTATACTCAATAGTTTATAGACTTTTTTTTTAAACTTTGGTTAAATATTCTAACACTTTACAGTGCAAAATAATTAAGATTAAACAGCTGGTTAAATTCAGAGTCAATTGCTGATCAGGTTCCAAAATGTTGCTCATCCACTGTTGTTATTAGTGACATTTTAGCATGCAGATGAAGTGGAAAACGTCTTGATATCGACCATAAACATCAGCCCCAAAAATTAGCAGCACGTACTAGGGCCTGCACGACTTTATTTTTTTTAAAGTCAACAGTCAAGTAATTAAAGTCGAGTCGACTTCGACTAGTCGTTGATGACGTCATACGCCGGAAGCGGCGGGGGGGTCGGTATGTAGGTTCGCTGGAATTTTTTGACAATTAAAATTGCGCCCACATTTTCTAAGTTAAACACATCTCTTTTAACAACGGTAGTTTCTGCATCCTACTTCAGCCCTCTCCCCCTGCGCAGCAGCCGCAAACTCACTGATGCGCCTGCAGCCTCTCGGAGTTCCTGCTGCTCTAAACATTAAAATAATTATTTCATTTTCTGCTCCTCACTTCTGATTACCTTCAATGGTGTCTGTTTGTTGCAACCAGCAGGTACAAAAACTAACTTGTTTATATTTGACTATTTTTCTGTCCTGCCTGTTTATTATCTTCCTGCATCTCCTCTCAATCCTAAAGAAAAACTGCTACCTGGGTTCATATATATTCACCTTATGAGTTACCTTTGAACTGCAGTTCTAAAAGATCTACCGACCGCAAAAACAGCGGAGTGCCGCTGCTCGCCGGCCGACTACAACGGGACCGTTTTTGCTGCGGAGTTCGTGCCGGGGCGGAGCGGAGCGGAGATAGTGGAATCTTGGGGGCGCGTCACCGGAGGACAACAGGTGATGCACATCGCTCCGCAGCAGCGAAATGCATCAGGCACAAATAACAGACAGAAAACATGAAAGGAAATGAGCCGACATGAACGATCGCGTGTTTAATTTGTTTTTGAGATGGTGACACCTGATTTGGCGGTGCTCAGGACGCAATGTCTGGAGCGCACGTCAGTGATCAGAGCTTTGCATGCACAAACTGGTTAAGATTATGATGGGGGTGAGGGGAAGGTTAAATTGCAAGAGCGAAAAGGTCACAGTTTGGTTAAATGTCCGTTTTACCGCCGGTGTCATTACCGCACAACGCGTCGCCTCCGCCTCGATCCAGACGCGCAGGGGCTCGTCACCTGCTGTCTTTTCCGAGGACTGCATCTTGTCAGTCATTATCACGTGACAGCGACTAGTTGATGACAGGCATAAAAAGTCACTACAGAGCCGTGAAGTCGACTAGTCGACTAGTCGACTATTTCGTACATCCCCTAGCACGTACCAGTATCGGCAACACAAAAACCCATATCAGTCGATCTCTAATCTGAACTATTCTCTAGTCCTCTAGACTGACTCTTCATAACTATTAACTCTTAATAACCTTTCCACAGAAATCTTTTTCAGATTATTCGAAATCTCTATGTGACCTGTGATTTTACTCTAACAAACCATAATGTTCATTTGAACATTAGCTTTAGCACCGTTTCTGTCTCTTTTATAGATGCTGTCCCAGTTATCTATTCTGGGGATGTCTGGCTACATTCTGCTCACTCTCACGTCTCTGGGCTTCATTATTGACCAAAGGTACATTTTGAATTTTTGTTTTTTTTTGTAAATCTAAAATCAAACTATTTGCAAATCTGAGAAGTAGACAAATCTAAAATCTCTGGAAAATGTCAGAGAATGTTTCAAATTTACTGACCTGGTGCATTTTAACTTTAACTCATTTCCGGTCAGGTTAGCAGTTTGGTAGAGCTTACCTTAGTCCCTCCCTATACATCTTATTGAAGCAATAAATGATTTTACTAGGAAAAAACAACTAAACCTAAAAATTCTAAAATATTGATAGATGTTTGAATAAAAGTTAAACATGAGTGCCTTATTTTAATATTACGTTATTATTATATTGTTATATTTATATTGTTATTATGACAAATTGGTCTTAGGTGAAGGGTGAGACAATGAAAGGTTCACAGGATCTTTCATGGAGGTAAAGTCAAAGAGTCGGAGTACCCGGCCCGGAGGGTTACCGGGGTCCCACCCTGGAGTCAGGCCTGGGGTTGGGGCCCGTGGGCGAGCGCCTGGTGGCCGGACTTTCGCCCATGGGGCCTGGCCGTGCCCAGCCTGAACCTGATACCTGGGCTCATCCAACTGTGGACCCACCACCTGCAGGAGGAACATGAAGGGTCCGGTGCAATGTGGATCGGGTGGCAGACCAAGGCGGGAGCCTTGGCGGTCCGATCCAAGGATAAGAAAACTGGTTTTTGAGACATGAAATGTCACCTCGCTGGCGGGGAAGGAGCAGGAGCTTGTGGCAGAGGTTGACCTGTACCGGCTAGATATAGTCGGACTCACCTCGGCACATAGCATTGGCTCTGGAACCCAAATCCTTGAGAGGGGTTGGACACTCTCCTTTGCTGGAGTTGCTCTGGGTGAGAGGCGGAGGGCTGGGGTTGGCTTTTTGTTAGCCCCAAGACTCTCTGCCTGTGTGATGGGGTTTACCCCGGGGGACGAGAGGGTAGCTTCCCTGCGCCTTCGGGTCGGGGAACGGGTCCTGACTGTTGTTTGTGCTTATGGGCCAAATATCAGTTCAGAGTACCCACACTTTTTGGAGTCCCTGGGATGATTGCTAGACAGTGCTCCATCAGGGGACTCCATTGTCCTGCTGGGGAACTTCAATGCTCATGTGGGCAATGACAGCTTGACCTGGAGGGGTGTGACTGGGAGGAACGGCCCGCCTGATCTGAACTCGAGTCGTGTTTCGTTATTGGACTTCTGTGCAGGCCGCAGTTTGGCCATAACGAACACCATGTTCAAACATAAGCATGTCCATCGGTACACTTGGTACCAGGGCAGCCTAGGTCGCAGGTCGACGATAGACTTTGTAGTCGTATCATCTGACCTGCGGCCGTATGCTTTGGACACCCGAGTGAAGAGAGGAGCGGAGCTGTCAACTGATCACCACCTGGTGGTGAGTTGGATCAGATGGCAGGGGAAGATGCCGCGTAGACCTGGCAGACCCAAACGCATAGTGAGGTTCTGCTGGGAACGCCTGGCAGAAGAACCTGTCAAGACGGTCTTCAACTCCCACCTCCGGCAGAGCTTTGACCGCAACCCGAGAGCAGTGGGGGACATTGACTCCGAGTGGGCCTTGTTCCACTCTGCGATTGTTGAGGCGGCTGTTGCTAGCTGTGGTCGCAAGGTGGTCGGTGCCAGTCGTGGTGGCAACCCCCGTACCCGCTGGTGGACAACAGAGGTTCGGGGAGTCGTCAGGCTGAAGAAGGAGGCCTACAGGGCGTGGCTGGTCTGTGGGTCTCCGGAGGCAGCAGACAGGTACCGGATAGCCAAGCGGGGTGCAGCAGTGGCAGTTCCCGAGGCAAAATCTCGGGCGTGGGAGGAGTTTGGTGAGGCCATGGAGAAAGACCATCGATCGGCTCCAAAGAGGTTCTGGCAAACTGTCCGGCGCCTCAGGAGAGGAAGGCAACAACTCACTCACACTGTTTACAGTGGGGATGGGGAGCTGCTGACGTCAACTGGGGCTATAGTCGGACGGTGGAAGGAATACTTTGAGGAGCGCCTCAATCCCACCTATGCGCATTCTGAGGAGGAACCAGAGCCGAGAAATCTGGGGTTGGACTGTCCAATCTCAGGGGCAGAAGTTGCTGTGGTAGTCAGACAACTACACAGCGGCGGAGCCCCGGGGGCGGATGAGGTTCGTCCTGGGTATCTCAAGGCTATGGATGTTGTAGGGCTGTCATGGTTGACACGTCTTTGTAACATTGCGTGGTCATCAGGGGCAGTTCCTGTGGAGTGGCAGACCGGGGTGGTGGTCCCCATCTTTAAGAAGGGTGACCTGAGGGTGTGTTCCAACTATAGGGGGATCACACTCCTCAGCCTTCCTGGAAAGGTCTACTCCAAGGTACTGGAGAGGAGGGTCCGATCGATAGTTGAGTCTCAGATTGAGGAGGAGCAATGTGGTTTTCGTCCTGGCCGTGGAACTGTGGACCAGCTCTATACCCTTGCAAGGGTGATGGAGGGGGCATGGGAGTTTGCCCAACCAATCAACATGTGTTTTGTGGATTTGGAGAAGGCTTATGACCGTGTCCCCAGCGGCACCCTGTGGGGGACGCTCCAGGAGTATGGGGTGGGTGGCTTTCTGTTAAGGGCCATTCAGTCCCTTTACCAGAGGAGTGTGAGTTTGGTCCGCATAGCCGGTAGTAAGTCAGACCTGTTCCCGGTGAGGGTTGGACTCCGCCAGAGCTGCCCTTTGTCACCGGTTCTGTTCATTACCTTTATGGACAGAATTTCTAGGCGCAGCCGTGGTGTGGAGTGTCGAGTTTGGTGGCAGGAGAATCTCGTCTCTGCATTTTGCGGATGATGTGGTCCTCCTAGCTTCATCCAGCTCTGACCTTCAGCTCTTGCTGGGTAGGTTCACGGCCGAGTGTGAAGCGGCTGGGATGAGGATCAGCACCTCCAAATCTGAGACCATGGTTCTCGACCGGAAAAGGGTGGCTTGCCAACTCCGGGTCGGGGGAGAGGTCCTACCTCAAGTGGAGGAGTTTAAGTATCTCGAGGTCTTGTTCACGAGTGAGGGTAGGAGGGATCGGGAGATCGACAGGCGGATTGGTTCAGCATCTGCAGTGATGCGGACGCTGAGCCGATCTGTCGTGGCGATGAGGGAGCTGAGCCATAAAGCCAGGCTCTCGATTTACCGGTCGATCTACGTCCCAATCCTCACCTATGGTCATGAACTTTGGGTAATGATCGAAAGAACGAGATTGCGGATACAAGCGGCCGAAATGAGTTTCCTCCATTGGGTGGCTGGGCTCAGCCTTAGAGATCGGGTGAGGAGCTCGGACATTCGAGAGGGACTCGGAGTAGAACCGCTGCTCCTCCGGATTGAAAGGAGCCAGTTGAGGTGGTTTGGGCATCTGGTCAGGATGCCTCCTGGACGCCTCCCCGGGGCGGTGTTTCGGGCATGTCCTGCCAGCAGGAGGCCCCCGGGTCGACCCAGGATACGTTGGAGAGGTTACATCTCCAATCTGGTCCGGGAACGCCTTGGGATCCTGCCGGAGGAGCTGGTGGAGACGGCCGGGGAGAGGACGGTCTGGAGCTCACTATTTGGGATGCTGCCCCCGCGACCCGGACCCGGATAAGCGGAGAAAGACGACGACGACGACGCATCAAAAAAGTTTCAAATCTCAGAAGGAGATTTATTTTCTAATTCATTTGTTTTGGGCCAAATTATATATATTTTTTTTAAATATTAGGGACCAAAGTCCAGCAAGTTTTTACTTTGAGGAATCTGTTGGATCTAGGGACTTTTATCAGTGAAATAGTACAATTGTTCGATTAAAATCCAATTCAAAGCTTTTTCTGCACGGTTCTTTTTTATTTTCGCTAATCACCGTTAATTTGTTGAAACGTGTCTAAATGTGTCATGTCTTGCCTCTTAATGCTCAGGCCAACTGCAGCTTTTCTGGAGATGTTTCGCTGTGTTGTCATGGTGACGATGCATCGCTACAACTGCGTGAGCACCCCGTTTCCTGCCCTCTCTGCTCTCACAGAGGTAAGATGAAACACAGAGTGTTGCAGTTCAAACAGAAATGGTTGAAACTCACTGCGCTTCGTTTTTTGGCACCTTTTCTTTTACTTGTCAACACTTGGCACCTGTTTTACCTCCTATACAGCTTGAGTTCATGTTATTCAGCCAAGAGTTTTGGTTTGTTTTGCTACCATCCGTTAAAGTTTCTGTGATTTGTTGGCCCTAAGGCAGAGATGAGGAGCAAGTAACAGGCAGAGCAAACTCTGTGCATTTTTTGGCTTTAAACTTGTAGTTTTTCGACCCAGCCAGTTATTACTCAGTTTATAGAATTTCAAACGTATTCCCCTAGACACACATGAAGCTTATATAGCATTTTTTCTTATGTTGCCGTCTTTCCCAAAACCTGTCAAGTGATTTGGACGTGAAAAATAGATGGAGCTCCCCTCGAAGTGTTGACAGCTGCATAGTTTTGCAGTTCAACTGAACAGTGGCTTTGCATACAATCATGATTTCTGCATTTGAGTTGATGAGCAGCAAACTGAAACTCAAAGCAGATGGCTCACAACATCCTCATTTAGACATGATAGTATGTACGTATGCTACGTTATACTAACCTAAAAATCTAGATAGACAGTAGCAAAATGATTGTGCTCTGCATGTGCTCCTTTGTAGCTTCTGCAGCCCTGGCCAGTCTAGTGGCATGCCAATCACGACTCTCTATCAGTTTGGTGGGCGGTATGCTATGAGCAGAAACATGTACTTACAAACGTTTATTTAGAAAAAAGGATGTTTACCTCATCTTCGACAGTGTATGACAGACTGCCCTGTTGACTGGCATCCGTAGTGGTAACTACATCATGTTGTTTGCTGTCCAAGAGCACGCAGAGACAACGTGAAAGACAACCCTGCCCCATGACTGAGATCCATCATTGGGTCGTGGCCCGACTATGTATACACATCTATAGGATGTTTTGCCAGGCTAACTTTATACGCTCATCTGGAGAAAACATTAACCTCCCCATGACAAGATGTTTCAGCTTGGGATGTTCAGTATCAGCATTTTTACAAGGCAAGTTAGGCAAGTTGTGCCAAACAAACAAAAAATAATCCTTGGATCCATCATAGCTTGACATCTTTAGTGAGGAGAAGTGGTTGAAGAATTTGATGTATAAAATGTGCATGGTATGTAAAATTTGTGTCCCGAAGAGAGAAAAAGCTGATACTGATGCTTTCTGAATTCCTACATCGGCCAATAATAACGGTGGGCTGATAATATCGGACATCCCTAGTTTCAACCTTTTGCTGTCCTTAGAAGACATGGTACTTTTACGAAACATGACCAAACGTTTGGTTGCATGATTTCACGAAATAGACATGTAGGCTTTTGAGCATCTACACGAAAGGGTTTTGTCAGATTTTTATATTTGTACAATTTTTTTCTTGCCGTTTTTCTTGTACTTTCGGCTGCTCTGTTCATAGTCCAAATCTATGGAAGCAGATCTGGATAGAAGCATGCAACCTTTTATTAGACAGTTAGCTCCACTGGTGTCTTCTGTCTCATCAGATCGACTGTATTTAGATCTAGGTTTTTGCAAAGTAACAGTTGCAATTGTGTCAAGAAACATGACGTATATTATAAAAATATAGAAAATAAGAGCAGCTGTGTGACATTTGACTCTTGTCTGCTTTTTTGTGAATAACTTATGGGAAGAAAAATATTGAGATCTATGTTGTAGGTCAGAGTTCAGCTAAAGAATATCGAGACACAAGTTTTGGTCTCTAACATTGATCGTTGTAATGCTAATCGCAGAAGAACGCTAGCTCTGAAGTACTCCTTCCACTAGGCCGAGCAGCTGCCAAAGCTAGCCACGCTTATGCTAGCATCCTTGTTGAAGGAAGAATATTGGAGTACTCACCTTCCAGGATGTGCTGGGAATGTTCAGAGTTTGATTGAATGTCAAAGTGATCCACAGCTTGCGGTCCGGTCCAACACAGTACAATTGCACACTTAAATGTCTGCTGTTTACCAAACCTCCCACCACACCCCACCCACCCACCCACCCACACACACACACACACACACACACACGCACGCACGCACGCACGCACGCACACACACACACACACACACACACACACACACACACACACACACACACACCATAATAATCATGTCCTGGCCGAGTCTGTGGGGAAAACCAGTCTTTTTATTGTAGTCCTTTACAATCGTGTTAGCCATTTGTAGGGCTCCTGGGTCATTGTGAGCCCCAACAAAGTTATTTAAAATATTAGGGTTCAAAAAAACAGTTTCTAAAAACAGTCTTCTAGTGCTCCTTTAACTTTCCTTTAGCTAACCCCTCCATATGAGAACAATTCATCATTGCTTTAAAATGAGATGTTTGTACTAATTAAATAAATCTGCTGCTTATTTAACAAATGCCCCACATCTTGCAAGCTATTGCGGATTCAGAAATATTCATGGGAAAAATAATGAACCCATAAGTGGAAGAAATGGATTGTATGGAGAAAACCTTTAAAACATTAATTAAATTGGAGGATGAACTACAGAACCAGTTTGTGACCAAAATAAAACTATAAAAATAATTCCGTTGTAACGCCTCAAACACAAAGTCAGACAGTTGTTATCTTGTTGTTAGAATGTTGAATAAAGTGTAAATAAACATTAAATCTGCCTGCAAATGCAAAAACATGGTGATTTTATCGTTTTGAATTCATTTGGACACAAAATGAAAAGTTAAAAAGTGACTAAATTATGAAGTTTAGCTTTATGCCAAAAGCCTGTTAATTCTGTTCTTTCTTAATCTAAAACTTGCTTCGCGAACATGTAACAGTTCTGATGTTTCTCTGGTGTGTGTGTGTGTGTGTGTGTGTGTGTGTGTGTGTGTGTGTGTGTGTGTGTGTGTATGTATGTGTGTGTGTGCGTGCGTGCGTGCGTGTGTGTGTGCGTGCATGTGTGTGTGTGTGTGCCTGTGTCGCCTGTTTAGGCCTGACTGTGTGTGTTGTGTGGTCTGTTTTGTGTGACTGAAATGTGTTAGAGCTGGGTGCTAAGTCCTGCCCCGCTGCTCTGTGATCTATGAGTCCAGATGCGTCGCCCAATTGACCATAAAATTGGCGTGCCTCTCTGGCTCTGGCAGCTCCACTGTAGATGGAGGCTGACCTCTCATTACTTGCCCTCCCTGATTCCAAATCATTTTTTTCTATTCTTTTTAAGATTTTCTCTTTCTTTCTTTCCGCACTGCTCTTACAGCGTACCATTTCAGCGAGTGTGAACGAGAGCTGCACTTCTGGAAACAATTAGTGTCGTCTGCCACTCACCGGCGCTGCTGATGAGATTTGCAATTGCTGCTTTTATGTCCTTTGACTCCACATCTGTGCCACTAAGGTGTTCAAATGACAAAAAAAAAAAGGTTTTCCCACCTTCTTTCATTTTCTCACCATAAAATTAAAAACTAATTAATTGCAACTTTTTGAAGCGACGCTTACAGAGCAGGGCATTTCCAGCCAGCTTAAGAGCAACACACATGGTGATGTTTGCTGGACGTGCTGCTGCACAGCTGTGTCACTTTGACAGGAGGTTTATGCAGATGTTTCCTTTAGGTAACCATTAGGCTTCGTTTCAAGTCGCAGCACATCAGGTTTAGCTGGATAACTGTCGTGGCTGCAGGTGGGTCTCAATGGAAAACCCTCACAATTGACTCAAAATGGTTTTCTGCTCTTTGTTCAGAAGTCCAGCAAAGAGAAACAGAGAGGCCGCCCTCCAACTTTAAGCTACTTTAATGATAAATGTTCTGACGCATGAGCGGGACAGCCGGCTCTTTGCTGCATTAAATGTCTCGGTGAAGGGTGTTTTGAAGTCGGGCCAATCAATTAACAGTCTCTAGAACCGGAGAGGGAAATTCACATTTAATTGTGTTCAGGCTCACTGTACTTCGGGGAAAAAAAACTACAAAAACCAATTTGGTTTGTGGTCCTTCACAAACCAGTGGTGTGATATACTGCGCCCTTAAACCTCAGAGTGGTATTTATAGTGGCTCTGGAGATTTCCCTTGTAAAGCTGCAGGCTTGACCTGTAAACCAGGGCTGCCTCTCGCTCCCAGCCGCCCACTCGCCACTCAAGCCCACGTCTGAGCGGCTCATATGAGGACCTCGCCATTTCTGAGTGTGAAGCAGGACAGCTGTTGGAGTTGAGCGGTGTTTGGTTAAAAGTTGTCTCAACATGGTTTGTTTGTTGGCTAAAACTTTCAAAGAGACAGTAAATGAAATTATTGTGATTTAAAGTGACGGTGTTTAATTTTCATGGCGATAGGGGCAATAGATACCTAAGTCGCTGCAAGCAAGCAGTATTTTTGTGTTGGGAGTAAGGCCTTACCAAGGGATGCCCATTAGGGTCAAAAAGCCCTGGGGAGTGCAAACTTAAGCAAAATAACAAGCCCATCAGATTCCCTTTTATCACTGGCAACAAGTGAAGAGGTAAACGAGTAAAACAACATTTAAGAATGACGAAAGTTTTGTAAATGTTTGTTACAAATCAGTAAATGCATTTTGTCCTCATGGGATCCCGTAGAAGGAAACATGGTATCTAATATGGCATTGCCCAGAGACTTACCGTGTTTCTCAATGCCAAGGAACCTCGTCTTGATATCGTGGCCCCGCCCCGGTTGCCTAGGAGATACGTCATTGGGAACCGCCAAGATGCGCTCCAGTGTTCATGTTCTACCGAGGCGTGTGTTCTCCGTTTGTTAGCCGTTTAGCTAGCTGAGCAAGGATACACGGGAGGTGTCTTGTAGCCTAGCCTTGGTCAAAAATTTCCCAGAATACACTGCGGTATTTTCAAAAGGATGGCAGATCAGAAGCCGGCAGCTACTTCAGGGCAAATTTCAACTTTAAAAGTAAGTCAACTAATTTTAAATGCTTTTTTTTATTAGATCCAAACAAGTTATCTATGGTTGGTTAGTTGTTTAGTAGTTTCAGTTTCGGTGGCTAGCAGGTAGTAAATCATGTCC